ACGAACACGAGTACCATCACGAACCCGTGGTCCATTCGTCTTACACTCCGTACTCTCACCACAAACTATACTGATCCTGTGTCAAATGTTTTTTGGTGTATTTAGATGAATAAAAAAAAAAATATATGTAAAAACTTTTCTTTGAAATATCATGCTGGTTGTAAAATTTATTGACCTACTCATACTCCTGAATTGTTTATAAAAAAAATGTGAAACCCATTTGATTGAAAAAATATAAGATCTGTTTTTACCGATGAGGAGTGCACCATTGTCGTAGAAGGATAAGGAAGAAATTATACATAATTTAATTATATTTATCTTAGTAGGCAATGGTAAAACATGTTTAACGATTTTAAGTGAATTTCCTTTATACATGATTTAAAACACCGTAACATATACGACTTTCAAAAATTCTACTGGTTGTGTTTTAAATGTTTTCACATGTGCTCAGATGAAAATAAAAATAAAAAAATTTCTTTAAAATACCTTTTTCGTTGTAAAAACCATTTGCCTTCTTATACCCCTAACTTTCGGATTATTAAAAATATGAAGCTGTATTGAAATTTCGGATGGATTTTCTTCATTGGAACTTTTATGTTCAAAAACGGAATATGAACACTATCTTTTTTAGAAAAAGTTCTAAGATAAATGATGGATGCGATTATGTTGCAGGCGGGAGTTGGGAGAGGTAAACACATAAGGTCGTTTAACTTATTTTGGCAAAAAAAAAATAAACAATTTTTAATGAAAAACTATACAAAAGTGAAGTTCGTTTATATTTGATTTGAGAAGACGTGTTACATTTACGACTTTCACATTAGGATCTTACACATTAAAATTAATTAAGAAACTTCCAAAAAAGTATTGATCTATGGTTCAAATTTTCTAAAATATTTTTTTTTAATTATTGAAAATTCTATACAACACAAACATAAGTTTTCTGTAAAAATGTAAAATTTCTTAGAATATATTTTACTGATCTACAACATAGAAATAAAACATATAATAATGAAGCCTTAATTCCGTTATTTTTTAATTCCGTATAAGTTTTTTCCTGCTTTTTACAATAATTAAAACTGTTGCCTGGAATATCTAATAAGGACTTAATTGTTCTGCAACTAGTTCCAAAATATAAAAAAAGAAAAGTTTTTTTTTTATCATTATTTGAATTGGACAAAATTTTATATTCGAAAAGTTTTTTACAGAGATAAAAAAAACACATAAACATAATAAAACAAATAGATTACTCGCCACACTTCAATTCTATACGACGGAACGGCGGTTCGAAAATATGTTGTTGGTAAGTCTGTTAACTAAACATTTTATTCAGAATCTGTTCCTGTGTTTCCAAAACGTCACGTTAAAAATTATTGTACAAGTGTGTATGTACATTTAAACATTTCTGCGTAAATTCGCACGAATTAAATTTGATTATACTACGATTTGGTGATACTATAATAGATGACGCAGATGTTTTCCATTTGTACGTGTTTCTTTCAATATGTAATACAATAAACTATTTGGGTCGTTATTCAGACTGTGTTGAAATTAAAGTGTAAATTCGTTCTGCTTCGAATCACTCAAAGCACGATTAAATAACCTACATGTGCTCTCAAAAATCAACATGTTATTACACGTGTGTATAATAGTAACGCATAAAGGATTTATTGGAAAGTGTATTTGGGGCGGTAACTGCGCGTGTACACCGAACGAACGATTATTAATATAATAATAATACTAATAGTTAACGACCGGTTCTGATAAAACAAATAGGATAAAAATAAAGTACCGAACGGTATTAAATTGGTGAGTTTAACATTATGGAAGGGATGTTAAATTGCAAACTCTGACCGATCGACATAAATACGACGGCTTACTAGCGTGCGTTACCAGTACCTAACACACCATCGAACAACCCGACATCGTCACGAGAACACAAGTCAAAACGTACAAATAAAATGGCCGCCAAGGTATATATTGCTTAACGATTAAAAAATTCGTGTTCAACTCACACATGAATAACAATAATCCAATACGTTCGGCCGAATACTAATTACTTTAATTTTATATTTTTTACTACCAAAAATTTAAGATAATATCAATTAGTTTTTATAGATAAATTGCATCTGATTGAACCGGTACATGGATCCACCGATCTCAAAGGAATGCTATCTAACTAATAGCCTTTTATTTTTAAAAATTCGCTGTTTATAACCTCGCCTATAACCTATAACGTTGTCTAACATCACCGTGCATTTCAGATGATCATTCTCGCCGCCTGCGTGGCCGCCGCCGTCGCCCAATACGCCGCCCCGGCTTACCCAGCACCGGCTTACTCCGCACCAAAGGCCTACGCCCCGGAGCCCGCGTACGCCCCGGCCCCGTACAGCTTCGAATACAGCGTCAACGACCCGTCCACCTACGACGTCAAGAGCCAATCGGAATACAGCGACGGCAAAACCGTCAAGTGATACTACAGCCCGATCGAAGCCGACGGCATCAAGAGGATCGTCGAATACACCGCTGAAGACTACGGTTTAAACGCGAAATTCAAGAAGGAAGGCACCCCGTCTTACTCCGCCCCGGCTTACAAAGCCGCCCCAGCCTACAAACCGGCCTACTCAGCACCCGCATACCCAGCACCAGCTTACCCAGCACCCGCATACTCGGCACCCGCCTACAAACCAGCCCCGTACAAGGCATACTAATCGCCGACCACTTCGTTCAAACNCCCAGCACCGGCTTACTCCGCACCAAAGGCCTACGCCCCGGAGCCCGCATACGCCCCGGCCCCGTACAGCTTCGAATACGCCGTCAACGACCCGACCACCTACGACGTGCACAGCCAGGCCGAATCCAGCGACGGAAAGACCGTCAAGGGATACTACAGCCTGATCGAAGCCGACGGCACCAAGAGGATCGTCGAATACACCGCTGACGACTACGGTTTCAACGCCGAGGTCAAGAAGGAAGGCACCCCGTCTTACTCCGCCCCGGCTTACAAAGCCGCCCCAGCCTACAAACCGGCCTACTCAGCACCCGCATACTCAGCACCCGCATACCCTGCACCAGCTTACCCAGCACCCGCCTACAAACCAGCCCCGTACAAGGCATACTAATCGCTGACACCTTCATTCAGACTTTTCATTACAAACCCCCGCAGTCGTTGATAAGCTGAAATTTCCGTTATAGAAACAGTACAGCTCATATTCCATTCCGACAACATCGGAATGAACAACGTTTAATTTATTGTTGGTTAATTTATAAATAAATTATTAATTCAACATATTAAATATTTTGAATCGTGTTAATTTTTTTGTCTATAATACCAGTATATCACTGCTGATTTCCTGCTAAAACGTAATTTCTTTAAGTATAATTATGTTTATAAGTGATGAAATTTTGGGTGCAGTCTGTTTTTGTAAAACACTTTAGTGACTAAAGAAACTTAGTTAACGAAACCATCATTTTAAATTGATCCAGTCTGTTCTTTCAAACACAAAATTTTAAAATTGGTTTAAAAGGGACGAAAAATCTTTGTTGAAAAAAAATGTACAATATGTATGCAAATTATCAACTAAATATAAACCACACAAACTTCGATAACGATGGAAAAGTGACCAAACAATTATTTATATTATTGTTTTGATGAATTCAATTACGGAAAAACAGTTTACTGCAATTGAGAAGTATTTATAGCTGGTATCTAGATAAAAGTAATAGTAAGATGATAAATTATAAATGAAATTAAACCGTAAATGACAATTGGTTATAATAAAAGACACAAAAAAAAAGCAAGTCACTAAAAGAATAAGAGTATTAACGATCAAAAAATAATCCAAAAACCCCCCAAAGCAAAAATAATTGTATTAAATAAAAAATCACTCTAACATTACCAAAATGTGTACAGTTTTTTTGGACGAATGATAGTGTTTTTATGTTAGAATTTTATCATATTTTATATGAATTTTATACGGGAAAAAAAGTTAAAATTTATTCAAAAACCGTAAAATGCACGACATTTCAAAAATTTGCGTACCTATGTTTTATATCGATTAAATTACTCTAAATGAGTTCTTCCCGACTACACACCTAAAACAGTGGCTGTTTGTTAAATTTTCAAATTTCGATTATGCTACAAAAAACATTTTTCTAATAAATTATTTATAATAATATTGGTTGTCGATTAGATACCGTACTGATGTTTCGTATGAAATTCGATATTTTATTATGTTCGAGAAAAAATTGATAATGTGATAATTATCAGGTAATTGGTAAATAGATTATAATATCAAATAAATAGATAACTTTAGGTTTCTAAAAACAGGTTTCGGGATAACATTATACTCTTGGTATGTCTTACGATATTTTCATAATCTCAAATTAGTTATGTCTTTTTATCTAGTTCTTAAGGAGTTATAAAATATCAGTAACTTTCTTATTATAATATGTCCTACGAGGGGACTTGTCTGACGATACCCGAACCATAAGAAAAATAAACAAACTATTTTGATGTACATTTACTAAATTTTTTTTCCATCCGTTTTCCCGAGGTAATCAATAAATTAACAAAAATAATTCTGCTAAAAATATCAGAAAACCGAATTTTAAATGTTGGTATTCAATAAGGTTTATCTAAATTATTTCGAACTTATGCTATAAAAAAGGACGGACATACTTTGACTATGGTGCAGTTAAGTTGTGGAAGAGAAGTGAGTAAGGTAATCCTACCTTACGTATGTATCCACATACGAGGATTAAATTTACATTTGTAGGTTACCGTTGATTACGAAAAAAACGTTTCTGAGCGAAGGTCAGATCATATTATTGCTTTTCCAATAATACATATGTTATATTATTAAAAATGATTACAATGTACGTTTCCATAGCAATAATGATAAATTAAAAAATAAAAAACCAAAATAAAAAAAAAAAAATAAACACGGTTGCCAAAAACAACGTATTTTTAATTTTTTAATCTTTCGTAAGCTAAAGACTAAGGTTTTTTTTATTATTGGGATTGTTAATGGAAATTTCAAAAAATAACCCCACTTGATATTCGTAAAAATTTTCTATTCGAAAAACGATTCACGTAAAAAACTTGACAAATTATTATAAACATAACTTTAAAAACACTATATTCTTTACTCAGCCGATTATCTAAAACTATCCAGTGTACAAATATTGCATAATTTCACGTTTGTTAAGTATTTAAATTATTACGCAGAAATTTAAAAATCAAGATAACATATGTTTTTTTTTAATTACTTAACGTAACACTCAATAATATTTTACACAATTTAGGCTTAAGTTAAATTAACAGACAACATGGAAAAATAATAAATAGAAGGGATTCTGGTGTACTGGTATATACTATAAATACCGTATTCCGAAACCGAATATTCATTACATTCATTTCGCTTTTTGTATATACACAAGAAACTTCATTTTTATTTTACAAATACTTTGATAATTGTACGAAGAGAACTGCAAAATGGCCATAAAGGTAAGAGTTTTTGAATCTGTAAAATATATCGCAATTTTTATACGATAAACAACATCTNATAGTATATTAAATTGTACTCAAATTTATTGACTGATTTATTTATTAATTTGTGTACGATATTTCGATTATAAGTTCCCAATCATAGTTCAACCAAAATACTGGAGCAGAGATTATTCACCAAATATTTGTACATAGTTATTTTGACCCGATTTATAAAAAAAAATTGTCCAAAGTAGTTTTTTTAGCAATTACATAGTCGGATACACGAAGTTCTTCACTGTTACCTTCGTCTTTTGCTATCACGCGAGTAGGATCACAGCTATTCACTATTTTGGTACCTCCAATTCATTGCTCTGTCTATCACATTGGTTCTCGTCAACACCATCCTTTCTTACTTCATCATTTTAATCAGAAACAATATTTTTTTTCATATTCATCTCTTCCACCAGGTTCGCATCATTATAAAATTTTCATATATTTTTTAATTTTTTAGATTATCGTTTTATCTGCGCTGTGCTGTCACTTAGTGTTCGCCTATCCGCCACAGCACCTGAGCAGTCACTACGATCACCACGTCGACGCTTACGAGCACCACGCGCCCACCCCGTACAAATTCAAATACGGCGTACACGATCCGCACACTCATGACATCAAGAGCCAACATGAGGAAAGCGACGAACACGGAAACGTCAAAGGTTCCTACAGTCTGGTGGAACCCGACGGTTCTACCCGAGTAGTCGAGTACACGGCCGACCACGAACACGGATTCGTAGCCAAAGTGAAGAAAATCGAATCAGCCTATCATCACCACGACGAACACGAGTACCATCACGAACCCGTGGTCCATTCGTCTTACACTCCGTACTCTCACCATAAACTATACTGATCCTGTTTCAAATGTTTTATCATGTGCTCAGATTACCAAAACAAAAATACAAAAATATCTTTGAAATATCTTTTCGTTAAAAATTATTTATAATTTAATACCCTTACCTACCTACGAGTTAAATATTAAACAAATTATAGAAACTTAGGAAGTACATTTTCCAAACTTATTTTAATATCGATAGATATTAAATGCTGGTTTATAATTTTAATTGCATTTTTACATTCAATGAAGGATTATGAACACTTTGGTTTTCGTGAAAAAACCGATACT